GGCATAGTTGGAAGCAGGATTACGACGAGGATTCTGGAAGTAAAGATTCCTATGCTTGACATTAGATTGCAGCGTAATCCAGAGGCATCACAAAAAACATAGAATAATAAAGAAAAATCTTCAATGATTTTGGTCATCTTGGTCTTTGGTTCTATGGAAAAATTCAAGTAAGTTATCTGTATCCCACTATCACGGGCACACACGAAGGGAAAAGAAAATCATCTTGATGCAACAACAAAAAAGTAACATGCAAGAACAAACAAAGAAAAGCACCTTAATTATTGCCAATCCATTACTCGTATCACTTGCGTTTTGCTCGTGACTACCAAGGCCTTTACCATGAATCTTGTATAATTCAGCTTGCTTAGCTGCCACTTTCAACTCTTCCTAAAAGAAACAGGTGCACAAAGTAGACATGCAAGGATTTTTTTTCTACAAATCGAAATACGACCGACCTCGTAAATCTTGATTTGTTCTCGATGCTTCAGTTTGAGTTTTCCTAATCTATCGCAAATCATTTGATGTATGCGGAAAAATAGGAACAGTGAGTTTCCACCGTACACCAGTCTATAATGAGCAGTTGACGCCAATTTTGGAGGTTCATCATCAGGACCGTCTCCCCTACAAAGTATAATAATCATCAATAAATAATGGAAATCAAGTCAAGCTTACATTCGTCGCCTCTTTGGAGGTCCAGCATCGATTAGCGGATCATTATTCTCCTCCCCATCACTCATTTCTTCATCATCAATTCCAAACCATTCCGTGACGCATCTGTGAGCATAGAATAAGAGTTAGTGAGGTTGATGACAGAAAATAGTTGAAAGAATGGAAAAAGCAAGTATACGATTGACATAGAACAGCCACGAAAGGAACATTCATAAAAAGTCCCCAACATTACCAAAGATACAGCGATCCGGAAAGTGTTTTTTGAATCACAAGAAAAGATCTAATTTACGGTAAAAGAAAAACGAAGAGGAAATAAATTGTGGCGAACTGAAGCATAATAAGATTTTGCAAAAGAAAGGAAAGCAACCTTCTCAAAATGCTCTTAATTTTGTTTTTCTCCTCCTTGTGGATATTTGACTGTCTTTTAACGTAATGAATTATGAGGTTAGACGTGTCGTGAACAATTGCTCTATCTTCTGGATACAACATGACCATATGTGGACCGACATCCTCACACTGCCCTTCTTCTGATCTAAATATAGCAATAAACTTTATTCTCGTTGTCCCACATTTCCGTTTTGCACTTTTTAATTAAAAAGATTGCTTACTTTTGTTGCCTCTCATCAAACATCACTTCTATATGGTGAAGTAGTGCTTTGGCTTTGATCCACTTAGAATCGCTATTGCGCAGTGCGTTTGACTGATGATCAAGCGATCGCATCATGTGTTTTTCGTTTTGTTCGCGCCAAATTCTAAAGCAAAACTACTTGAAAATAACTGCATTTTGGGAAAAGTATATTGACCTGTTCATAGCAACTTGTGCCTCCCTCCATTCCTTCTCTTTGTCACGCAT